TCACAGCAATTTTCCTGTTTTTGACTTTCCACACTTCCTCCTGCCTCCCAAGTGCTGGGATTATAGGTGTGTACCACTGTGCCCAGCAATTCTTTGTTCTGATTGGTTCTCTAAGACCTGTGTTTATACACATTACAGAGAATATTATTTCAAAAACAGAAATACATTAAATGACCCCAAAGGTTATGATTTAGGGAGTTTTACTTCTGAAGTCGTCCAAATGCATATAAGATTCCTGAGTACCCCAACTTTTTATTTTTGGTACTGAGGATTGAACTCATGACCTCCCACTTGCCAGGCAGGTGCTTATGCCACTGAGCTAAATCCCCAGCCCCTACCCCAACAATTTTTAACGTATCATTTTCCTCAGGTGAAAGCAGTACTTAATCCAAAAATGCCTTTTCTCCTTCCTTGGCCCAATGATATGCTGTGGTTCTAAAAGTCTTAAAAAGTAGTACTAATTTGAGATTTTCAGTATTTTAGAAGTTTGATAGAAATCATATATTAAAAAAAATCTGTACAAAGTAACAAAAATAGTTTGATTTTGGCTGGTATGACACTGATTATCACACTGTAAAGCTTCTGTCAGTGATTTACTTTTGGTTAATAGAAATGTCATTAAACATAAACAATACATTTGGCAAGCCATTTAAAACATACAGTCTATGGAGGAAAGATGTGTTTCCTGGTGATGAAAATATTTAAAACTAGCTAGGCATAGTGGTGCTGGAATCTCAGTACTCTGGGAGGCTGAAGCATAACAATTCAAAGTTTGAGCAACTGGGAAACAGTGACTTAGCAAGACCCTGTCTCAAAATAAAAGGAAAGTAAAAAAGGAGTTGGAGATGTAGTTCAGTGTGAAACCCCTCAGTTCAATTCCCAGTACTCCCAAAAATAAAAATAAATTAAACTACCCTAAAATCCCACTTCCCTTCACAAGTCCCATCACTGCTCTGTTTGCAGGGTGTGTGAAAACATCCCTGCCCTCAGTGAACGGTAGTTCAAGAGCAATCTAAATAATCACAGTAATTTCATACATTTTCCATAGGAACACATTACCCAGCGTCACATTTCATCGTAGGAATGATCTGTTTTAATACAATGCTACTTTTCTATAAAAGATCTCAGAACTCAAAATGTGTTAGAATACTGACCAATCTATTTTTGTGTGTGCAGTACTGAGGATTGAACCTAGGACCTTTGCACTGAGATACAACCCCAATCCTTTTTATTTTCTTTGGTACCAGGGATCAAACTCATGACTTTGTGCTTACCAGGCAGGCACTTATACTGCTGAGCTGAATCCCCAGCCCAATCCCTTTCTTTAAAAATTTTGAGATAAGAAGGTTTTGCCGAATTGCCCAGGCAAGACTTGAACGTTAGATTCTCTTGCTTCAGCCTACTATATGCTGGGATTACAGGCATCTATAACTACACTTGGTTTACTGAACAAGCTTAACACTTAAAAGGGCATCCCAGGAGTGACAAATTAGCTGAAAACTTAAGCCTCAGGTATGCCTAATAATTTAATGGGCTTGAGATGTTTAGTATATTCCAAAATGTAAGCAGTTGGCGTGCTTTCAGTCGGTGATTTTCAATTAACTAGCACCATCCACAACTTGAAACACTAGGGCTGTTTTGAGCACCATTTTTTGTGGGGCTATCCTTAACATACGTCACCACATTCACCAGGCAAACTGAACACCTAAGTAGTGAACACCTAAGTAACAGTGTAATTTCATCAGTAACGACAAGTTCAATGAACTTTAGTCTGTTGCCTTTATTAAAGCGAATTTGTGGGTATGGAGGTGGAAACTGAACCCAGAAGTGTGCTATCACTGAGCTACTCTCTAATCCTTCAAGACTAACCCAGATGGCTTTCAGAGAAGTAATCTTCAGCAACTATGTCTAAAATTTATGTATAGATATTTTCTTGGGGGAGAGGTCTCAGAATTTTTGGTCAGATTCTCAAAAGGAGACATCTATTGGTCAGGCTTTATGGTACATCCCTATAATCTCAGCACTCTGGAGGGCGACACAGGGTTGAGGCCTAGCCAGGGTACACAGCATGTTCAGCATCAGCCTAGATGTGATTAAAAGCAAGACCAAAGCACTAATGGTATTAAAACTCTGCAGCCAGGTTTTTCTAACTTCTAACTTGTCTTTCAGAACCCACAATCTTGTAACCCTTTGGTATTTGACATTTCTAGACTTTTAAGAACAAGAAATTATCTTCTCTGACACTAATACAAATACCTCTCCTAATGCCTCTCTGAATGTTGATGGGAATGTAAAACCAGAGATGAAATTGCCACTCCCAATAGCCCAAGAAGTCAAGATGCTCAGCGTTATCCTGAAATTCCCAGCATACCATTATATCCTTTTCTAGCTTGTAAGATAGTTGGTATATTTTTTGCTATAAAGCTAACCACTGCTGAAATTCTATCTTAAAAATATAAAACCCAACCAATGCTAAAATAACAGTCCATCTTTTATGGCAGTACTTTTTAGCTTGGCATTTTGCTCAGCGGCATAAGCACCTGCCTGGCAAGCACAAGGTTGCGAGGTTGTGAGTTCGATTACCAGCTCACAAGAAAAAAAAAAAAAAAAAAAAAGGAAAAATCAAACCATATTGCTTTAGCTTGGAAAGGTGAGACCATCATAACTCAACAGATCATGCTGGAGTTTTGAGTGGAGTTGTTCTTGGGGGGCGGGGATAGGGTAGTGGGAACTGAATCCAGAGCCTACACAGAGCAACATCCCTATCTCCCCTTTTTTGAGGTAGGATCCCTCTACATTGTTAAACTGTCGAAGATAGGCTCAAACACGCTATCCTCCTGCTCAGTCTTGGAATCGGGCCTGCAGCACTAGGCCTAGCTTTTGAGGAATTTTTACAGAACATTTCTCATCACTCTGTTCAAATACTTAGTATATACAAATGCACAGTATCTCCTCTAAATAAACTATGTACCTGCTTGTCACCTATTTTTGAAACAGCATCAATTGGTTAATAGCTAATGGAATCTTGTAACAGGTAAGACTTGAATTCTTGTCACCTTCAACATGGTACATTGAATAGTAGACTAAGACGCAGTTTCACCTGTTAGTATCTCAACAGGCATCTTGACTCAGCAGTCCTAACTTCCCTAGGTAGCTATGCAAATATGGAATCTTAAAGAAACAGCCAATAAAAATACTGTTGAGTAATGTTGCACACAACGTTGGCAAAAATAATTCAGCGACTATATTTTGATAAATGGACGTGGATCACAGTATTTCAAGATTCCTTTTCCTTCTCTCTCCCTTCAATTTTTAATCTGTTTGGTTCTAAAATAATACCTAGGGATGGAACCTTGATACTAACTTTACAGGTTACTCTTAGCCTAAGGCAATTTATTTTGGGGTACCAGTTGGTAAACTGATAGGCTCTAAAGACTGAATTAAATCTCAAGTCCAAAGCCCTGAACACAAGCCAAGTACACTTGTACTTCTAATTCTTGGTAAGCCACCTCAGGCAATAATCTCAAAGTCATACATAGCAAGACTTAATTGAAGAGTTTGTATTTTGTTTAAAAAGTTTTTATTCATTTTAATCAGGGAAAAGGACAATCTCAGTCAACTTGTCACCTAACCATAAGTTTAAACTTATAGGGTTCACTACTCTAAACACCACACCTACTAAACAACACAACTTGAAATAATCTCCCTTCTAGTCCCTAGGATTCCATGTTGGAAAAATAAACAATCTGTTCAAATAGCCAGTACTAACACTGCCCTATAGCAAAAGGCCAACATAATGAGTCTGATAGCCCCACTATTACAAATATCATTGGAACAAAGTTGCAGGCATCAAATTAGGGAAGTGGGGTAGGTATTGGTACTAAAAACTTATACTGTGAAGTATGAAGTCAACTACTATAACGTGAACAACGTGTATCAGCCCTTAGCAGCTAACAAGGAATCATGGAAACAAACTTTCCTAAATCTAACTATGTAGGTAAAACTCAGTTTAAGTCTTTTAAAAATCTATATATAAAATTTTCCTTTTAGTGCATCAGAAAGGTACCCTAAAATGGCAACTGAATTCACATTAACAAACCTAACAAGTACTATCATCTTCACTGTCCCTTCCTAAGTCCAAACATAAAAAATCAGCTCATGCATTAACTGCACTAAAAGATCGACTAGCATGGCTTTTCTAAACTCAGTACACAATCCTAAAGCATCTTCCTAAGAATGTCCAAATAGAAAACATTTTATTCAATGATGTTGGTGGTGTTACCACCAACAAAAATACACCTAAATTATTCTGCTACCTCAAATCTTTTGTCTTTTCACCAAACTTTAAAAATCTCACACTTCTGATAAAAATCCATTTTTACTACTAATCTTAAATCATACATTTTATTATTTTAGGGCCATTTGTGCACCTCAGTCTCTTAAAATCAAGAGGACAAAGTCACGGTGTTATGATTACCCAAAACTTATTCTAACGGACACCAAGTAACTGCAAGGTCAAAATAACTAGCCAATAACAATACTTGCCATGGAGAAGAACGTAACAAAACTACTAAAAATCCTTGCTCTTTTTGACAAGTACTAGGGATAGAACTCTAGGCCTTGCGCATGTTAACCAAGTGCTCTACTACTGACCTACATCTCCAGTCCCAAATGTATGCTCCTTAAACAGAGTACAGAACAGTCTACTAGAAAGCTTTCTCTAATTGCAGTACCATGGCTTACATTTTGAGACAAAGTACCCGGAGATCAAAACATTATTCAAAGATGTAGCTGAAGCCTCTGCAAAGAGAACTGAAGCCTTACAGCACACAATATACATATGAAAACGGGGAACAGGGTAATTGATCCCACAGCTGGCTAAAGGACCACAGTTTCTCCCTACAGACCCAAATTCCCTACAAAAAAGCCTGCACCTTAATTATTGCTTATTTAAAATTACATCCTTACAGAGCTATGTAGTACCTCACGCAGAAAAACAATCACATAAGGAAGCATTTATTTGGGGTTTAACATGAGAAATCATACAAATAAAATTTGTATAAACACAAATCCACAGTCATAACACATAGCAAAGGACAAAGTAAAAACGAAAACTAATTGGCGGCTATATACAGTTGGGACACAGTTGTGTCTTGTACACTATAAAGTCTTTTACAAAATAATCATTAGAGCAACAGAAGGCCAATCTTCAATGTCGTCCTGGAAGATTTCTTAGCATCTCCTAAAAACAAACACAAAATAACAATTAGATCTGTGCAGCTCTGACAAGTTTTCAAAGGTCCACTTTCATGAATTGTTTTAAGTCCTCACTTTATTCTTTTCTTCAATAATTAAAGATCACATGCATATCCATTTGCAAAATACAGTTTGGTTAATTGATAAACTCACGTTGGAGTTTACAAATGATAATAAATCCGAATCTCTTCAGAAAGAATCCGGGAATGCAATTTTCCCATAGTCACAGGATTAACAGACTAAAGCCTACTAGAAGTATTTCTAGTAAAGCCAAGTAAAATGCTATCATAAACATGAATTTCTAATTGACTTATTATAAGAAAACAAATCTCTTTGTGCATATGATCTTTAACTTATATCCCAGATTTAAAAGTTCTTGTTTTGGTTTGTAGATTTCACTATTAGCTATAAAAAGAAAAAGCAAGCATTAAATCTTAAAGAATGAACACTTAAAATGAGGCTCCACAATTGAAATACAACACTAAACAGAAGACCAAAATGATTAAGCTGTAAAAAGGCATTTATGTACTTTAACTCCTGTAAAAAACCATTTAAGTTAAGTTTAGACACTTAATCTCCAAAAAGATTAAAAAAGAAGCCAAAGTCTGAAGTTTTCCACTTTAATCTTTACGCTGGTACATGAAGTTGGAAGAGACCATACCACAGGACAGCGTTTTCTGGTGTATGCCTTGCGCTCTGCCCGCAACGTGCGACCCCCAGAGATAGACGTGGTCAGGGTGACACACGGCCTGCAATGAAGTTCCCGCTGGCGGGTACAAACAAGGTATAATGTCAGAGTTAGAAGACAACATTCTTGTTTTCCTTAAGTTGTACCCATTTCAGTACTTTACCTGTTAATAGTTCTAAAAAAGTTTAATTATTCCTCTAGACCTCCTGGTACACAAAGCAAACAGAAAAACTCTTAAGTTTTTCTGTAATACTAAAAAAGGTGAGATAAGACTTTAAAGTTAAAGATCTATAGACACTTTAGGCAAAAGAGGCTCATAAAGCAATTAAAAATTAACAATTTAGTAAAAACAGGCTACATAATATTTTGCTTGTACTTATGTTTTGTCTATTGATCTTTAAATTAAATTAAGACATTTCCACTGGTTTCTTGCACTTATACACACCTGTTTTCTCCAATGTCTTCCTCTTTAGTATGGCTGGTAATTATTTTGGTGATTGCCACCTCCTCGAGATGCCTTGCCATAAGTGCTCTGCTGACCTATTATGAAAGGATACAAATTTGATTAAGACAGTTTCTGCATCAAATGGTGTCTTTACAAATACAATAAAAACCACCAATGTGTTAAAACTTTGCATGCCAAACATTAAAGTATTAAGATATTAATAACCTTTAGAAGTTAACTGCAACCCATTCTAGTGTTTTGTAACTGAACTCAGGGCCCTCTGCACCAAGATAAACCCTCAGCCCTTTTTATTTTTTTTTGTCACAGGATTTGGCAAAGTAGTCCAGGCTGGCCTCTGCCTGCTGGGGTGATGGGATTACAGACAGGCATATGCCAACCACACCCAGCTTGTCTCAGTTCTTTTGTAATTAACCTACTACCCTCTACATTGCTATAATCACATTGTAATAAACCGCAAAAAGTACTCCACACAGTAAGCAGAAAATCTGTACACACAATTTCAGAGTGAATGTATTTTGACACTAAATTTTAATACCATTGGTTTATGAAAGTAAATTAAATATTCTTACCACTGTAGTCTGCATATCCCTGTCCATATCCATAGTTCCCATAGTTATACCCAGTATAATCATATCCGCCATAGCCACTATAGTTTTGATCACCACCATAGGCACTATTGTAATTTCCATATCCTTGATCATAATAGTTATTAAATCCTTGGTTCCAGTTTTGGCCCTGACCTGAAACAATGCAGTGATTGTTAGGAAACAACCTCTGATTCTCAAATGTTAACAAACCCATACTTTCTTATACCTTACTCTGTAAAATGGACACACATCTTGCTACCTACTAGAGTTGTTATGGGGGCAGAAAATCCAAATGTCTTGTCCCAGTCTCAAGCTTCCTAAATTTAATGGGGTATTGGGGATTGAATGTTAGGGCCTTGCTGAGCTACATCCCTAGCCCTATTTTGCATGCCAAAACAGGATCCCACTAAGCCATCCAGGCTGGGATGAACTTAAGATCCTTCCTAGAGTGAGCTCATTAAAAAACAAACCAGAAAGCACCCATCCCCTAAGCTAGTGTTAAAGAGTAGTTTCAGGTTTAAATTTCGCCTTGCTTTCTCATTGGCTTAATATTACTGAGCAATATACAGCTTTTAGACCATGGACTCACTTAACAAGAGTTAAGTCTCACCTCGGCCACGACCCCTAGTACCACCTCGTCCCCCAGCTGCAGCACCTCTTCCTCCTTTTTGTTGTTGCTGTTGCTGCCGATATACCTCTTTGGGTTGTGCAACTTTGATTTCACACTGTAAACAGAAAGTATAAACAGGATTTTCACTGAAGTGCTAACACCAAACCATTTTTTCTTTTCAGTGTAGTTTTTCCCCATTCCAATCCTGTAATTCTTTTAATATAATTAAATAGTTTTACCTTCCCAGAACCAATTTGATGGTATCTGCTTTCTAACAATTTCTTGACTGGCTCTTCATCTGTGTATGTGATGAAACAAAATCCTCTCCTTTCATTTGTTTTTGTATCCATGGGAAGCTCAATATTTTCAATCTGCAACCAAGACAAACACTCGAGATGTCAAGATCATCCAGTAATGGTAAAAAGTACAGAAGGTGTGTTTAGATACCACAGGTGCTTATCAGTTGAGTTCTGAAAAGGCACTGTATTATGAATCACCTGAAAACATTCACTGTGTATTAAGCATTAAAAAGAATGAAACAGCTTTTAACAGCATTTTTTGCCCAAGAGATGCCAATTGTGAATACCAATCACCATCAGAACACCTAGGTTTTGGCCAAAGTAAGTTAGATACAGATTTTCATTGTAATACAGAAAGCAACAATAGGGCTGGAGATTTAGCTCAGCGGCATAAAGCACCTGCCTTGCAAGCAGGTGGTCGTGAGTTCGATCCCCGGTACCGATTAAAAAAAAAAAAAAAAAGAGCATCAATTAAGGTATGTTCACCAGAAAGCACTTGAGTAGTAATAACTCAACCCTATCCTACAGAGGCAAATATTAAGTGTCACATAAACTAGATCTGGGATGCACATTCTATAAATACAACACGTATAAGATACATGTAAATCGCATCGCACCTCTCCAAAGGCTCCAAAATACTCTTTAATTTGTTCTTCAGAAGTATCTGGGCTCAATCCACCCACAAACACCTTTTTAGGTGGTTCTTTCCCTTTTAAAGCTTTGGCCCTTTTGGGGTCTATCAATTTGCCATCCAGTTTGTGTTCTTTTAGTTCCAAAACCTAGGAAACAATTTAAGAAAATGTCAGCAGTATACAAACCTCAGAACAATTTGCAAAACAAACAAACACAGAAGCAATGCAAAACACACGCCAACCTTATCAACGCTAGCAGCATCTTTGAAAAGCACAAATCCAAATCCTCTTGATCTTCCAGTGACTGGATCTGTTTTAATTGTGCAGTCTACAACTTCCCCAAATCGAGACAAATATTCAGTCAGATCTTTCTTGCTTGTATCCCAGCTCAAGCCTCCAATAAACATTTTACTAGAAATAAAAATTTAGTGTAACTGAAATGATACTTTAGTCTTGTAATTAAACCCGTGAAGTAAATCCAAAGCAGATTTTCTAAAGGAAAAAAATTTTTAGTCCATTTCAGCAGACACATATGAACAATGGGCCACGACAACCTCAAAATTCAAGTCAGCAGAACACTTTCCATACTGCAAACTCTAAGCGCCAACAGTTTCTGGAAAAGATTCTGGCCAGATTCCACTGCATCAGAAAGCCAAACTTCCTATCTGGCCCCTCCCAACTTCGGTTTACTCGGTCCTCAGCTGTCCAGCCAACGAGCAACCTAAACAGCTAGTTGTGTAACGTTGTGGGCCTTTCTGAAGCGCCCAAAAACATTACGTCCCCAAGTCTCCGCTTAGGGCCGCGCGGAGCAGCCAGGACACAATGAAGAGGCGGCAGCAGCTGGGGCAGGAGGCGCGCCGACCTGGCCCCGCCCCCGCCCCGCGCGGCGCCTGCGCAGTCGGGACGCCACCGCCCTCTCCACCCTGCCCCCAACCTCCGCGGCCTCTCGAGTCCCCACGCCACGTCCCCCTTTCCGGACTCTTCCTAGCTTGCAGGGCTCGGGGGGCACGCGGGGAACCGCCTCGGGGAGAGAACGGGGGCAGCGCGCGGCTCCCGGGAACGAAGGGCGCGTGCGGCGCGCTGGCGGGGAACAGCAGTGAGGGGGAGCGTGCGGTACCCGTCATCCTGTTGGTTCTTGCTCGCGTTGATCTTGGACCCCTCGGCGAACTCCTCTATATTGCTATACTCATTCATGTCCTCCATGGTGGCGGAGCCGTCGGCAGGGGCGGGCGGGCGCGCAGTCCGGGTCGCGGGGGTGGTGGCGGCAGCGGAGCGTTGTATGGAGCTAGATTTAAAATGGCGGCGGAAGAGGTCCGGGCGCCGCCTGCGCCCTCCCTTTATAGCCGCCCCGCCCGCCAATCGGGAGGGCTGCTGCGCGGTGACGTGGCGCGGGGCCCGGCGCGCCCCCTGGCGGGCGGAGCCGGCGGCAAGTGAAGGGAGGAGAGGGGCGAGTTGCCGCGGTGCCCGCGGCCGCCAATGGGAGAGACTGCGGGAGGCCAGGGGCGCGGGAGCGGCGGGGAACAATGGCGGCGGCACATGGGCGAGCCGGGGCGGGACTTCCATCGCAGGCCTCCCGGCGGGGACCGCAAAAAAAGGGGTGCGGGCTGGGGGTGAGCAGAGGCTCGGGTGCGAGATGCAAGGGCGGTGGGTCCGGGGCCGGCGATCGCGAGCGCGCCGTTACAGGGCCGCAGCCCCTCTTGCCTGGAGAGCCTTTGTCCCTGGCGTCGGTCCGGCCCGCTTTTAGCACTGAGCGCTCTGCCCGCCTTGGGCGCCTTCTCTCCGGCGCGGCGCGGCGGCGGCGGCTGCTATCGCTTAGCGCCGTGCGGGATGCTACGAGGAAGGCGGCCCGCGCTCTCCCGCCTCCCGCCGCTGGCGCGCGCACGCGTGTTGTGTCCGCGCCGCCGCGACCGGCAGACAGGAAGCGGGCGACTGCGCGGAGCTTCTTCCGCTCCGCCTAGAGCCGAGGCGCGGCGGGCGGGGTATAGTGGAGGCCGCGGGGGCTGGGACACTTGCATTCCACGCGCCACCCGGGGCCCTGTTCGCCAGCGCACTCGCCGGTGCCTGTGCCCCAGTTCCGACCCCACCCGGTTCCCCGCTTGTTCTCCCGAGCAGAGCACCAGACTTCCGAGCTCGCCAGTGTTCCCGCCTCCGCGGCGGAAGCGGCCAATGGGCGCAGGCTCCCCGTGGGCTCCGCCCCGTCCCGCCCACGCGGTCCCTGCTGTACAGTAGCCCGGCAGGGTGCTTGTCTGGCTCCGGCCGTGCAGAGCCGGGCTCTCGCCGTGGGGAGATGGTCGTGCTCTCGGTTCCCTCCGAGGTCACCGTGATCCTGCTGGATATCGAAGGTACCACAACCCCGATTGCTTTCGTGAAGGTGAGGGGCGCTGGGAAGCTGCTCGCGCCCCGAGACCCGAGATTCCGGGGACGCGGTGGGGATGGGAAAGTAGGGAGGTGGCGGGCGGGCATCTCCGCGGCACCATCTTCCTTGCGCCGGGTCCTTGCGCCTGGGTGGACGTAGATGGTGAGGAGGAATGGAGGTGGCCGCAAAGCAGGCGGGGCACAGGTGGGTGCCCCAAGCCTCGAAGGTGAGCGTGCTTGGTGTATCGGCTCTAGAGTGGCGAGGCGGCGTATGAGACGGAGGAGTATTTGGGAACTGGCCTCTCAAAGTGGAAAGCATGAAGCGTGGAGGTGCCCACCCTGTTGTCTTGGCCCTGCTGTCCTGCTGCGAGTACTCGAACTGCACTACTGTGATCCACAACCTTGGTTTATGGAGACACTTCTAGGCTCCGTGCATTTTCCTCAGAAAACCACAAAACCTGAAGCTTTTATTCAAAGCATTCCTCTTGGTAACCACTACTTGTGTGCACACAATTCACAAGCTTATTCTTTTAAATAATACCGGGTTGTTTTTGTCCAATACTGTCAGAATAAATACTAAATGTTAGTATTTTTAAAGGAGTTCTTTAGGTTTTGTGTTCTCTTTAGCTTCCAGAGGTTTAAGAATTCATTTCAAGTGCAAGTATTAGAGATGTCTGTGTAAATAGTAAAGAGATATAGTACAAAAGACCCCAGTGGTCGAGGAAACTGAGCAGCCTGTTTTAAATTATATTTTTAAAAAGTACCAGTGAAGAATGATTTTCTGGATGTAGTTATAATACAAAATTTATACACACTTTTAGCACTCCAAATGTAATAAGTACTTGATAAAATTTTTAGAAGAATCGCAGTACTGGATATCCTAGCAACTTTTCATCTATGGAAAATTTCAGGACTGCCCAAATGCTGATAAAGGTATTATTTTTTCTTTTTAGTACAGAATAGCTGCTCTCTTGGTTTTGAGAGAAAAAAAGACTTCTAATTTTTGTGGTTTATACTTTACAATTCACTAGCGTCACTCTAGCTCGCTCTCCTGTCCATTATGAGGAAAACATAATGACAGCAGAGGTGGTGGTATGGCATTCGGTATATACCATTCTCTGAAAGTTGATTTTGGGGCAGATGAAATCTCATACAAATCGATTTTGTAATAAAAACAACATTCCTCCCCACTTTTCTACTCTTCTATGCCAGGTGACTTTAAGAGCCATTTGTGGGAGCTCTTGTGGCAGACTTAACTGAAATCTGAGAATAAAAAAAGCCCTAATGACCTAAATAGTTGTGACACCAGACTATAGGCAGGCTGCAGAAGAATGATTCCAGACTCTTGTTTGAAAAATAGTTTCTTGTGCCCTGTCTTACAGTATCTGTAACTGTTACTATTTGTTGTGCATTAATTTATCAAAACTAGTATTTCTGAAAGTATGTTAAGAAGAATGTTCAATTTGTGATAATTATGCCCAAAGATTTCATTAAACCTGCTTCGAGAAATGCTAGTTTGAATATGTCCAACTAGATTTGTTTATTACATGACTTCTTGAAGCTTTGTCTCAGGCGCCTCTATGCACACACTTTGTGAGTCTTCAAGAAAGTGGAATTTCATGTTTGCAGGAACAGGAAGCTTTTAGCAGAGCACCTCAAGGACTGAGTTTTTGAACACTTTAAAAAGATGCTAAATTATATCCTTGAACTTTTAAGCGTGGAGCTGAAAGACATTCTGCTTTGAGCACTAATATAGTAGGGATGTGAACTGGTCCTGCTTCCTGTGGAATGAGGGGAGGAAAGTGAGCTGTATATACCTCACTGATTAAGGTTTTGAAAAGTCGAGCAATAACCTTGGGATTTGAGCCCAAGTTGTCTAACCAGAAACTCACTCTTACTGCACTCAAATTCTGTAATGGGTCTGCAGTGTTTGTCCAGGCTTCTTTGCTTGGCTACTGTATATGTTAAATGACAGTTTATATGCAAGCACATCAATCTATATGAAGTACTATAAAATTATGTGGGGACAAATTTCACTTGATACTGCCTCTTGGTGATAAGTTTAGGTGTGGATTCTTAACTCAGAATAATTATAGATGAGTCTTTCCTTGCCTGTATGTTTGGTTCTACAGGTAGAGGGTGCTTTGAAAATCCAAGTAGAGTTGGTCAGTAGGTTCTCCTGAAGTGCCCAGTCAGTATTCTTTAGAGGCTGATTTTCCATCTTTAAGGAAATTGGGTGCAACTAGTTTTTCCTTTAGGGTTGAAACTTATTCCTACTTCTTCTCTGAGCATCCAATGAACTAATTTATTTGGGATTAGAAGATAAAAACAATCTTATGGCAGCGTCAGCCTCACACTGAGCGACTCAGCCTGTAAGATCCTGGGGAAAGGGGGTCATTGCTAGAAACTGAACACCCTCACTGGGTGGAATGGCAGACAGATTGCTAGTAGTTTTTTTCCCTTTTTCTTTTTTTTACTGAGCACTTACAGTTCAATGTGTATATGACGCTACCTAAGTATATAGTATAACATCAAGAGTCTGGGATATCTTAGGCAATTTCGTAAAACTTCTCTGGAAATCAGTGTTTTTGTTTATTGCTGTCAGTTCACACCTTTAGCCTTGACATTCCAGGCAACATTGTTTGATCTTCATCTTTTTTTTTAAGTACTACAGATCAAACCCCTGGGCCTTCACACATGCTAGGTAAGAGCTCCACCACTGACCCACACCCCCAGCCCTTCAATTTAACTTAAATTTAGAGACGGTCTTGCTAAGTGACCCAGGCTGGCCTTGAACCTTTGATCCTTGTCTCCCAGGTACCTGAGATTTCAAACCAGTTCCACCAAGCCTGGTTATTACAGTTTATTTTCTGAGTCATAAAATGTTATGCTGGACTAAAATATTATGATGGACTAATTACTCATAAGAGAAAACCAGTGCCTGAGGGGGTGTCCTTGGTGAGGATTACACAGTTGGTTGAGAGCAGAATACCAAGGGGAACCCAGCTTTTCTTGGATGTGGCCACTTTATGTCTTCAGAGTCACCAGTTGTCTCTTGGCAGGATAGGACAGGTCCTTTTGGGATCAAGTTTTCTCAGCTGTTCACTGAACTTTCACAGTGTTGAACTCCCAGCATTTTTTTTGGTCATGTGCATCAACAGAATTGAAGCAGCATTGCCCATTATTATACTATTAATAAGTTTTAAAATAACTTGTAGTTTAAAGATGGTAAAGTAATAAAAATAGTGAAACATGATAGTGTACATTTGTACTCCCAGCATTCTGAAAGGCTGAAGCAGGAGGTTTGCTCAGCTTGGGTAATTTAGCCATTTAGTGAGACCGTGTCCCAAAATAAAAAAGGGCTGGGGATGTGGCTCAGTGTGAAGGCCCTGATTTTAATCCTCTGTGCTTAGTGCAGACAGTGGGTCAGTGTTACCATCTTTTACCCAATTGAATCATCTTGTATGCCCCCTGGGGTATGGGCACACCATGAAGCACCCACTTGATTTTGTCGTGGGGATGTGCTATGCATTTTCTTTTAGCCTGTGAACCTATAAACTGATACCATCAACAGTCCTTGCTAAGATTATCCTATTCAGCTGTTGTTTCTGAGTTTGGAGAAAATGATCTATTAGGTAAAATGCTCAACATTTAATGTCTTTCTTGTTTCTTACCAAGTTAGTGTATGTTTTAGCAGTTGTGATAGTTGTATTCTATAAAGTTACCGTGAGCACTGTTAGTGAATTGCCCCCAGTGGAAAAAGCAAAGTTGAGTTCCTGCAAGCCTCTGGTTATAGTTTCACCAACCAATCGATACATGACCTTGCTTTATGTGCGTTTCTGTTTGCTTTATTTAATATATATAGTTGATTGTCTAATATTGAATCATGACCAACAGGACTATAACTAATGATTCATATATGAAATTTGTCACATGTATTTTCAGTGCAAGGCACATAATGACTTTTGAGGGAGCACTAGATGGCACTTAAGCAAAAATCACCTATGAAAACATGGCACTAAATAGATCTTGGAAAGGGTACTTGTTTATATTTTGGGAGTTTAAATAGGCATCACTTATTCAACCTCAGCTAGAAATATGCCCAATTTCTGATGAAAATTTTTCATCTCTAGGCTTATGTTCAAAAATGACCTTGAAAGTACCATGAGTATTGATTTTTGAAGTCATAAGTAAATTTTAGAGGCTGTATTAATCCAGGAACAAGAGGAGTTGACAGTAGAGGGTGGCATTTTAAAGAAGGATTGTACAATTCAGGATGACCATCTTGGTTCTGATGTGTAGGCAGGTAAACTTTGTGGTGGCTCTACTTTTGTTGCTGTTGCTGAAAATTACCAGTTTTAGTGCTGAGTATCTGTCGATGTCCGCTCCCGGCCGGCAGGAAGGACACACGACAAAGTCTGGTAGTGGACAACCTTTTCTTTTTATTTTCCTTCTCCGTACAGCCTGCCCTGGGTTCTCCCAGCTGAAGCCTCCTCTGGTCCGCTCCCCGCGGCTCCTTTTGTGCTTCAGTCTGCCCCAAAGCCTTTACCGGTCCGCTCTCCGCGGCTCCTTTTGGGCTTCTACTTCCGGGCTTCTACCTGGCTTCTTCTTCCGCCCAGGGGTGGCACCGGTATATATACGGGTACAGTGTCCAATCATGTTAAAGTAAGCAAGGCAAGCTGATTGGCTAACATCATCAGTTGCCAGGCAGACTATATTGTTGAGCGGGTTGCTTACGCGGTAAGCAGGAAACTAACGTGCTCGATGGGAGGGGCAATCTACCTCAGGCTTCACTCTTTACTACAGGCCGCACGTCCGCCGCGCAAGGCGAGCTATCACAGACGCGGCTCCCAACAAGTACCGTGTACTTTTTTTTTAGGGTTTGGATTTGATAGGAAAGAGATTGTGGCTATGTAGAGGATAATAGGGTATGTAGGGGCAGGAGTTTTAGCTTAGAGATAAAAGGTACTAGCTTTGAGAATAAGGTACTTGGCAAAGTTTTGAACAAGAATCAGG